ATAACCGAATATTATTTTAAGATAAATCTCTCTCTAAATTTCAATAGAAGATTTCAGAGAGAACAGCCGTAACAGTGTCTAATATCAAATGTAGAACAATAGCATATATAACGTAATACTCCGAAATTCCCCATTAATCCTTCAAGTTCGATGAAATTTGCAGGATTAATGTAGAATAAAAATCCCGACTCAGGATCCTGTGACTGAGCCTCGGATTATAGATTTGCGCTAACGTTCTCCCTTAAAATTAAACGAGGAATAAAATCGACTTCAAATTGTCCAAAGAATCCGCGAACGTAAAAAACGTACCGTTAGATCCCGGGATATTCTGTACATCGCGATTATACGTGCGATAGGGATGAAAGGGACGCAGACGATAATGTGCGTTCGCGCTGATGGGAAAAATGTGAGAGGGTTACAATGCGGTTCATTTCCATATTACGAGAAAGTACGAAAAGTTCAGGAAAGTGCGCGAAAAATATGTATCTACCTTTGCATTCATTTCACGTCTCCACATCTCATTAAGTCGATTACAAGTATTCGCGGCGGGCTCAGCGTAAGGCAAAAATCGCAGCCGCCGCGTTCTTGTTCTCTTCAGGTTCGCTCTGCGAATTTCATCCCTGACACTGACCGCATTTCGCGATCGAATAGGCGACTATAACGATCTTCCGCGGAGTTAGACGCGAAAGGAAAGTTCATCCTGTCGTGTCTCGCTCCGTTGCCTCCGGCCGCACGAGATGAATGGGTAAGAGACGAAGATATAGGGAATAAGAGAAATAGAGAAGGAGAGGGAGACAGACAGGGTGAGGGTGAGATTTGGGAGGCGAGTCGGACGCGGAAGCGAAACTCGTGCGTCTCGCCGACTATCGGCGGAACTTTAATCCGCGTTTTGTCTAGGACAATTCGTGCAATTAAGTTCGCGACGCCGCGAGCATCCCCGTAATTAAAGATCCGAATAAGAACACAACGAGCCGGTTTTGTTTGGGGAAATAAATTGTTTGTCGGTTAAGTGCGCGCTTACGACCAGTATTTAACGCTAAATGTGGCAACTTGTGACTTTCAGTAGTTGTATGATAACGTTAAACGTTGTACTCGCGAGTGAGAAAGCAAATTTACCCGCAATTAGAACTATATCGAACTCTTCTCCAAGATGTAGCGAAATGTCTCGCAAAAATCGTGACAGAGACCGTTGACCCCTATGTGATGAAATAAGACGAGATATTTGATACGGTAAAATACCTCACTTACGCGAATGTTTTGACGTTTCTTGAGACGCCCGTCCGGATATCGAGACGAAACAAGTCGAGCAGTATTGGCAAGCATGAATATGCATGTAAGCGAATGAAGTAGTTCGGCAGAGCCGTTATATATCCCACTCCATGCTAACCGTAATTGTAGTTTACAACGTCGAGCTTCGCTCGAAACACGAGTTTGCGCGATCATTTAATTACAGGCACAGTCTATTACTAATTAATCACTCTACCCCATAGCCGCGCGATCGAGCATTACATGTAACATTCAGCAATTAGGAGACGCTCGATAGCAGGCGTTATTCTCGGCTGGCTAACTTATGATAATCTCCGCGAATGTTCGTTCTGTAAAGATTCGTATTTGCGTATTTGCGTCGACTGTCAACGGATTACTATTCTTATTTCGCCACCGTCGAAAATGATGATGCACGACACGGTAATATATTACGATTACATGTCGCGCGTCTCACGCATCACCGGCGAATAATTCATCCCGCCGTTAAACTGCGAGTTCGCTCGCGGCGACGAATAAATCCTCGTTTGCCGGCACAGATATTTTTCTAGTTCGCGCGTGTTCGCGCCTCCTCGCGATGAAATCACGCATCCCTCTCTCGCGCGCGAGCCAATGGATCGGTTTAATCGCCGTACCGCTAAGATACGGTATAATGCCGATCGACGGAAAGAAAATCCCGTAATTCCGCGGGCTGGTATGCAACCAGTACATCGGCGATTCGGAACGCGATATCGAGAGGAGAACGCGCGCTATCTCTGGCATCGTGAACTGCCGGCGCTCGACGTCGCTGGACGTTGAATAAGAAAAAAAAAAGGGAATCCGATTACTCTAATTGACTTCCTGACGATATGGACGCATTAGAGTCTATTACACAGTGTCCGATCAACCGCGCTTCCTTTCGATGATAGATACCGAATGATGAGAGAAGTAGCTAAGAATAAACCGCGCTAACTAGCTAGACGCGATGACAAAATCTGAACGCGTACATCTGCTCGCTATGTTCACTACGAAACGCTTTTTAAAGAATGTTGTCGCATTTGTTGCCACCGACACGGAATGAAAATGTTCCGAATCAGGCACCGCCTGATTATTTTCCCCAAGTTTATTCCAAAGGATTCCTTTAGCTCGTACCGAGATCAAAAGTTCTTACGCGGGGAATGAAGTGTCCTTCGGTAGAACAGACACGGAAAATATTTAGTTGTTGGCCGGTAGGTTAATTGGAAATGCTGAAACTTCGCGCAAATTAATGCACTCGCGTTGTTGACATAATGAGATTTTATTTTTCGGTGCACCGAGGCGGTTATAAAATCCTCTCGTGCAACTCTCTTTCTATTTGCGTGCGTTTCGGATACTGCACGAAAAAAAAAAAAAAAAAAAAGCTCTCACAGCTAGCTTCCACAAGTAAATATTAGCTGTCCGTATAATACAACTGAAATTTAGTTAATTTAACTCATTATTTTCGACCCAACATCTAGTTTTTAACTCTTATAATTAAAAACTCAAATTTCAATTGTGTTATATGAATAACTAATTCCTTTTTCCATGCGGGAATTAACGGCCGAGCTCCTAATATTCTACATTCTCTCTTTTATACATATCCTGAAATATCGTTTTCCTCAAAGCAGGCTTAACCGAATATTCGAAAACATTATGACGAATCCTCGGCGACATAAGTGAGGTCATAAATCACGGAACGTATCAATATTATTATATCTAATAATCGAACAATATATCGTGTGGTTTTGTTCATTTACTTCCAGATCGCTACACCGATTGTTAGCCAAGCCGAGAATCCGAAACAGAACAGAAATCGGAATTTCTAGAATTTCGACGAAAAGGGAAGACGTTAATAAAATTTTATACGTGAAACTGACTTTAACTATTTTTCCTATCCAACGCGAATTCTATACGAATAAGAATGATTAGCGAGACGTTCGAGATTATTCCTTATGCGGTTGACGGATGACTTTGTTTTCCTGCAGATTCGCTTAGATCTACGTTATCATGAGCGCTCCTTATCAGCGGGTTACCGATAGGTTATCAGTGAAAAGTCGGAAGTCTGGTAATGAATTCCAGGCTCTAACCACCGATTTAGTTTCCGCCATGTATTTCCCGCGTCCAGCGTCACTCGCGAACCATCACCGCGGAAATCGCGTCGCGAACCACCATCGAAAAACCCCGCAATTCCCCGCCGCTACGTGACGTCATTCGAGTTCGCGCGTGGATAACGGAGAAACCAGCCACCGACGTCCCCGCAATTGCTCGAAATTACCGGTGGTCCTTTGGTCAACTCGACCGAGACCACGAGAAGGGGAGAACGAGAGAGAAAGAGAGAGAGAGAAAAAGAGAGAGAAACGTGACGTCAGTTGGCGGAAGTCAATTGGCGCATCGTACACACGAGTTGATTCTGCGAGCGGCTGCCTTCCTCGCCTTCGCCGCGGTATTAAGTTTAGCCACTTCGGCCTGACGCGGGCAGTGTGTCAAGATCACTCGATCCGCTGTTGATATCGAGTCCTCTACTCTCTGCTCGTCGTTGCTTCTCGTCGTCTCTGTCTGTTCGTCCTTTCGCTACGCTTCGCTGAGAGAGGCGGGCTCCAAGTGTCGCTCGCAAAGTGCCGGCAGATTCGCGTGTAGGAAGCTGGGTCCAGAAATCGAGGAGAGAAAGGGGGGGGAGAGAGCAAGAGAGCAAAGTGAAAGAGAGGTAAGAGAGCGAGGAGAGGAGAGCTACTTGAAGTATCGTTCGAGAGTCGCGCGGCCGATAGGCAGTCTCGCGCTTTCATCTTCCACGGCAAAGCGACGGATCGGTCCTTTGAAGGATGCCGGAATAAAGACGTCGGGACGCAAGAGGTTGTGCCTGAGATTCAAAGAGTCGGCCGTACTGGCTTTTTCCTTTGGGGATAGAAGGATTCGCTTGCTAGATGCTTGTTACAGCGAATAAAGGTGAATACGTTACTTTTCGCGGTAGATCCTGAGAGTGATGCTATTTGATGCATTGTGACTTGTGTGCGCGCACGGGTACCGACGGGCAAGTGAGTCCTCGGAGTGCGTCCTGAATTAGGACTTATCTTGCCGGTACAGTAACCGTACGGCCGACTCTTTGAATCTCAGACACAACCTCTCGCGCCCCGGCGTCTCTACTCTGGCATCCTTCAAAGGTACGTTTAACGCTGACGTCTAACTCTCAATTGTATGTAGGTATCACATTGTGATTTTCAACACGAGACAAATAAGACAGAACAGAACAAAGCTTTGTGCGTGTGGTTCGCGAAAAAAGAAATAGTGTAGGACCGTCGAAGGACAGAGGAATAAGATCAGATCTGTCTAATGCTTTTATCGGAAAGATAACACGAGATAACACGAAGGATAAGACGTACGTACACTTTACGCACGAATTCAATGGATTTGACCAGCTGACTTCTTTTTAGGAGAACGCGTTAACGTATCAAAAATAATTTTCGAAATATTAAAAATCCACCGTGTGTCAATTGAAGTAAGATCCCACTTCGAATTGCTTTAATACATTCGAAAAAAAAATCCTCCCTCGTCCGCATATTTCCTGACTGTATAGAATCAAATCCCTTGTGTAAAACAATATCAAGAAACACGAGGCGTGCAGCGAAGGGTTAAGGGATTAGTATTAAGGGATAACTTCTAATGTAACGCGAGCTAAGTAAGTCGGTAACACTATAGAGACCCGGAGTACGTCAGAATAACGAGAAATACCCGTTTGATTGCAGGAGGATGCAGCCAGGGGTGACAGTGGCTCTTGCCACGGTCTGGCTGGCGGTGGCGGCGGGTGTGGTAGGAGCAGTCACCCCGCGACCCCTCCGCCTCTCCCACGATCAATACTCCCCCGCGTCCCCAAGCCGCCACGGAGTTCAACAGGACCAGGCTGACTGGAGGGATCACGATCCGGCCAAGGATCAACCGCTCGACCTTTGGATCAGCTCACAAAGGTCGATTTCTGCGGATGGTAAGTCTGGCTCGCGGCGCTACGTTCGTTCGGCGAAATAAATCATCATATTGTGTTCTGCTGTCAATTCTCTCGAAAGAACAAGATTACTCACGTTATTAACATTTTGGGAAAAAGTTCGATGCGAAAGCTTGATTGCGTATCTTAGATAGTGCGTAGATCCTCGTTTCCTCTCTCCATCTTTCTAAGTAAGCACAGGCACGCACACACAGATGTGTAGGGAAAATTTAGAAGAAGAAATAATCTGTACTGCGGCGCTTCGGTCTGGTCGCTAGGTAGGTACACAGCGCTCTAGTTCGACCGGCTCTTCAGTTACGTCAGCGATTTAATTCTGTCGGCCCGCCTCGTCTAATGGAGACGGAATAGGCACGTCGCGACGAAGCGCGTCGCTCGGCCTAACCGATGGAAATCCGTTCGCCGGCTTTTCCCCCGGCTTTCCTGATTAATCAAGGTCTTCTCGGTCGTCTTCGTGCAATTCCAATATCGAGCGAGTACCGCCCACGACTGATAAAAGATCGCATTTCCGACACGCATTCAGCCCCCAAACGCGGCCGCTTTCATTTTATAATTGAATGCGCCACATTCACACCGCGATAATAAAACCCGAGATGCGTATTTCGGTTTGCATCCTCTGTATAACAGAAATTCTGTATAACAGATCCGCATTAACACGTTACATTGTTGTAACGTAGATAAAATTTCAAGAGAACGCACTTTATCGAAAAAGAAAATATTTGGAAAGAAAGAAACACAAATGATCTTATTAGTAGAGTAAAACTGGTATTTTCTTAAAGGTGAACAATAATTTTTCCGAGTTCTCTGCACGTTTGCTAGCATGGGACGACGGATGATAATAACGATGGCTATTATTTAGGACACAATAATGGGAGATCTCTATATTTTCCGGGTAACGTGACTGCTTTATATATTATAACGGAGCACGCAAGAATTTCGGGGCAGTAAATTGAAGTTCACATTATTCACGTCGCTACCAGTTTGCGACTAGATTAGTTCTAGTCGCGCTCACAAGATCGTTATTAAATATCTTTGGAAGAATCTTGTCCCGATTAAATTGTGTATGTAGATTAAATTGAAATCGAGCAAAATCCTTCGAGCAAAATCCGCGTATTGGTGTGTGAAAATTGTTAATATCGATCCTCCGAATGTATCTAATTTATATAAGACAGAAATTTTACTCAATAGCGTCTGATTCCGAGCCGCGGCAACCAATTTACCTCGGTACATCGGCACACACCGATATCACGCGCGCGCACATCGATGCACATCGATATCGAGTCATTTCGAACTTTTCAAATCCAATACGAAATTCGTAACTTCCTATGCGCTGCAATTACTCGCCTTGCACATATCTCGGAAAAGTTCCGCGTCGCAAAATCTTATATATTCGCAATATTCGCAGCGATGAAAACGCGACATATGCACGTACATATGTATGTGATCCACCGGGGAACGAAAAGACCATTCCTCGAGAAATCCCGAGTTTTACGTTTGATTATAGACGCGATGCTTCAGGCATAATATGCTATTCAGTATCTCTCTCTAAATAATAATTATAATAATTATATAAAATAATAATATCGCTACGAAATTAGTTGCAAAAAATCCCCTTTATGAGACCTTATCGTACTACTTCGTAAATGTGTTTATAAGTCAGAGACAATCGATTTTCCAGACTCATCTGGCCTATCTCGCAACAGCGAGCGAAATTTCCCTTCGGAAGAGCTCGTGAAGGACGTCGCTTTGTCAAAGCAAAACTCCCTAGCTCCGAGTTGGCAGGCATGGCTGCTGAATATCGGCGGCTCGGAATTCGCGGCCGACAAAGTCGATTACGGCGGGATGCCGGAAACGCTTCCGCGCGAGGTGCCCCTTTCAGAGTCGGACGATCCCTTTGTAGCGGACGACACGTTCCAGGATCAAGGCCCCGGCTCGGTGGAGATATACAAATTGGATCTGTCGAAAGAGAAGGCCCTGTTGACCGCCACCACGCCCTCCGTGGAATTGCCGACGAAGAACAAGAGCAAAGCACCAAAGAAGGTCGATCGCGTGAGTTCGAAGACGAAGACGACGGAGATTAAGTCAACGACCAGTCCGGAGAGCCTTCACAGACAATCGAACTTCTTCGAGGAGCAACGAACCGAGACGCCGGTCAACAGGGACGCCTTCGGCGTCGGTGGCGTGCCGGAGCTACAGGTTGGATGCGAGGGCCTCGCCGCGTGGTCCCACAAGACGAAGAGACGATCGATAGATACATCCGACAAGGAAGAGGAAGTGAATGCGCCGGCCGTGTTGCCGGACGCGTCGTCGATGATAGTGAATCTCGACTACGATTCCACGGTCGGAAACGAGGAGGACTACGAGGAGGTGGACGAGTTGTTTAGAATCAGGAAAATGGAGGAGCTCGCCGCGAAGAGGAAGAAATTGAACCGAGGCGACATAGACCCCGTTCTCAATGCCCACTACCTGAACGATCATCGGCCGGACCAGTTGCCGGTTCGAGGTGATCTGGGTGAAATCGCGTCGAAATCAAGAATTCGCCGGGAGAATTCGCGAAAGTCGGACGGTCAGGCCAGAATGAGAGATGACGAGGGGGTCAACGCGAAGCGAGAGACCGTTTCGCCGGACGATGATAGCAAGAGTCGCGGTCGACGGTTGCTGGGGCTCGCCGAGGCAAATACCGAGGGATTTGCGGACGACGAGAGGAAGCGTGCGAAGCGGCGGACCGATTGGGGCTTCGGCGAGGACGAGGGCGTCGTGTCCAGCGACGAGCTGCAGACCGTGAACGAGCGTCGCCGGCAGCACGAAATGCGATACCACCAGGACGCAGGGAAACACGAGCGGCAACAACGCGAGCCGAATTCTGAAGTCGATAATATCAGGCGGGAATACGACCGGATGCTGGAGCAGAAACGAAGGGAGGAGGAAGAGCGGCTGCGACGGATGCAACGGGATGGCCAAAGGACGCCGAGCACATGGCAAGAGCAAGAGGAAAGGAGAAGGGACGAAATGCGGAGGAGTCGGTATGAAGAATACCGCAGGCGGACAGATTACGTCTCAACTCCTCGCACAAATGATGAGGAAGAGCGAAGACGGCGACTGCAGGAGGAGAACGCGAGGAGATCGGGATCTACGATGCCGGTAAGCGACGAAGAAGCGAGAAGAAGAGCGGAAGAACGACGAAGGTTGGAAGAAGAGCGAAGACGCTCGCAGGACGAAGAAGCCAGGAGGAGGCAAGAGCAGTACAGGTCGCAGCAAGAAGCGCAACGGCGGAAAGAAGAAGAGGAAAGAAGGCGAACGAGTCAGAAGGATCCCGCGAGAAATCATTCCGAAGTGTACAGAAGAAGACTAGACGAGCATCGTAGGCAATGGTCGGAAAGACAAAGGCAAGAAGAAAAAAAGAGGCGACAACAGGACCGAGAGGGAAACGAGGTGGTGCCGGCGAACCTGATGCGCTCGGGATATCATCGAGTCGGTCACCCGAATGAACTCAGACAACGCGACTGGGAGCGAGAGAGGCGCGTACAAGAAGAGGAGAGACGGCGAGAACAGAAGCTGCGGGAATACATCGCGCGGAATCGACCCATCAACGTGAATCGAACGAACGAGAGAAACGACGATGAATATCGCAGGCGACAAGAAGACGAGCTCAGGCTTCAGGATTACAACAGGAGGAAACAGTCATCGAACGTACCGCCGAAGAGCAATCAGACGATCGGTCGCGAATTGTTCGACGAGAGGAGGCTGATCGAGGAGGCCAGGCAGCGCAGCAGACACCCTGATCCAGGAGCGGCGAAAAGACGCGGCCCGTGGGCGCCGACGTATATCGATCCGCGAAACCCGCTGGAGGAAGTCAGGAGGAGGCAGGAGGAGAGAGTGGCGAGGGAACGGCAGCAGAGGTACGAGGCGGAAGAGCGACGGAAGGAACTCGCCAGGCGACAGCAGGAGGAAGAGGCGAGGAGGCTGCACGAGGAACGAAGGAAAGAGGCGGCTAGAAGGGAGGAAGAGGTGAGGAGGGAGCAGTCCAGGAGGTATGAGGAGGCCAGGAAGCGTCTGGAGGAGGCGAGGGTGCAAGCTGAGAGACGGAGGCAAGAGACGCAGAGGGAACGCGGCTGGGGTGGAGGTCGAACCGTCGGAGGAACGAGACAGCCGGAAGCCACGAAGTCGCCCGATCAGGACCCTCGTTTGCAGCAACACAGAAGGACACAGGACAGCCGACCGATTCCGAGCTATTTGGTACGAGACGACTCCAGGCTGCTGGCGGAGAGGCTGAGACAGCAGGAAAGGGCCCGGTTGGAGGCCGAAAGACGACGGCAAGAAGAAGAGAGCCGGTACGAGTAAGGACTCTGTCCTCGAGAAAACGGTAGCTCTTCGCGAAAACGAAGTTTCCCGCTGGGCTGATTGGCGACGCGCCAGCCAACTTTATTCACGCCGCTATCAATGCTCGTTACTGCTATCGTCCCGTGTCTGTCCGCTAGTTTGTTTCTGCTCCACTTTTGCTCCTTTATTGCCGTGGAAGTACGGTTACTTTGTCGTCAAGGGTCGATTGTGCCGCTGCCGCAACATAAATCCGCGCGACCGCTCGCGCGAAGCGAATACAAACGGCTAAACGATGGCCGAGGAACGTGGGTTAACACGATAGAAACTTTTTTATTGTATTTTTTCATTTCTTCATTGCGCTTCTTTACCGCATTATGATTATTAACATTCTCGTCACGCGAACGTCTGTATTTAAAACTGAAAAATATCATCACCGATATTTCATCCGATTAATTCAACACGCTCTGTTCACGGGATCTGAAATATTTCTTCGTTCGCGTAGAATCTAAGATCGGTAGCTAAAACCGGTAGCAAACCGGATTGGTAGCCGGGTCGACCAAGCGAACGACGCCAATTAAAGAAACTTTCAGCGTGTCGACGGCAAGAGAATTCACTCGTGTCCGGGAATAAAGTTTTACTATTCATGAAACGTGGATAAATGATGAAACGAGCTTTTTAACTTGTCGCAGGAGACAGAAGGTGGGTGATCCATGGAAACAGCAACAGGAAGTAGCTAGACTACACACACTGCCGATCAGCGCTAGGATAATAGTTCGCCCAGACAGCGCCATACCGTCCAGCCCGGCGACAGTGTCATTGAGAGGTAGCTTCGAGAACGAGATCGAGTTCACGGTGAGTCCTCCATTTGTCTGTCAAAACACTTTGCCTCACTCCGACCGGCAGTCCGAGCTCACCGCCGGCTGTCCACCGACGGTTTGTTCACGGCGAATCCGACCCGAGCTGGCCGATTGTCTCGCGCTACCAAGCCGTGCGCGCTTCGTTAACATCGCGGTGAAAGTTGCGGTGAGTTTCCGCACGGAAGGCCTGCGCGCCCCATCGACCCCTCGACTCCGACCGCGCTGCTTTGTTCCGCTTAATTGACCGAGCGCTGAGCAGCGCCGTCGCTACCACCTCTCTTTGGCGTCTCTTCGCGATATTCCCGCCGAAAGTGGCGATATAAATAATCGTAGAAGAAGCGGGCAACAAAAAGAGGGGTGACACGCGCGCCAAGTGTGGCGTAAAATAATTATTTTACCCGTCGAAATTTATAGGGAACTCGTGTAAAATTATCTTTGTGATTTTTGCTAACTCTTCCTACGCGACACGAATTCGTACCTCGCGATATTAAAAATAACCCAGGTATTTTTCATTGTAATATTATCATGATTATTTGTTTTTTTATGCGAGATCTGGAAAAATCGCAGAGTTTATAATTGGACGAATCATTTCCAGGGGATCAATCCGAATCGCCAGGGTGTGAAAACTTCAAGTTTCCCCGCAGCGCCAACTTTGAGACCGCCCGCCCAGAGTCCTAAACCATGTGTCTGGGCGGTTGTTCAGTGTTGCTCGCGCAACAACAGTCGTCTCGCCAAGTGTTTCGAGTCAATGGGATGCCCTGGACTTAATTGGGACGCTAACCCGTGCAGACGTTCCGTCACGGAAGCCGCCAGAGCGGAAATCATGAAGTTCTACGCCGCCGCGGAGAACCCGTGATACGTAAGATTAGCCCTTTGCCCCGCAAGAAAGAAAGAGAAAGATAGAGTGAATGAGTGAATGCGTACATGTGCGTGTATGTGCAACAGATAGATAGATAAACAGATCTTCTACGTAGCCTTCGACACTGACGAAAGATCGCACAGAAAGTTTCGAGTTACTGTGAATCAATTCGTACGTGTGTTGTGTGCATGTGACTTCTGCCTCGGCTCCGTACAAATATTTGTGTCGCTGGATGGGAGAGCTCGGTAAGCAGACTACGGATGTTTGCGGAACGAACGATCTTGATACTGTTACTAGTCGCGATATATCGACGGTAGATTTTAATAAATTAGAAAACCAAGGGAGAAATTATAGAAAAATATACGCGCGACGGAAATTCTTTTCACGGTGCGCGAAGGGATGTTTCACGCACGAGCTTATGGAAATCATAGCAACAGTTCTTTTACACGTTACTCGATGAAAGTTAACAGAGAACGGTTGAATCAAGTTGAGTAAACCACGCTTAAATATTATCGATATAGACGAGTATTAATATCCAGCGACAGGATTACTTCTAATTGTTCAACTGAACCGATCTTTCGTACAAGCACGTTCCGAAGGAGAATGGAGTTCGAGAGCAAAGGGCGATGATTACGACCAACCGCAAACCAAATAAAATTCACACGTTAAATTACCTTCGACGCGCCGAGTAACCATGTAACATCGCGTACCATGTAACAAGAAAACTATTGTACGTATATAAGATAACGCATTGTATGTATCTAGGGATAGTAATTATTTCTCCAGAATAAAATCGCGAACTGAAATAATATTTTTCTATCCGCTTGTCTCAACGGTAGCGCGTGTCAGATGGACGCTTAGTGCGTAAATTAGTGATAAACTGTAAGAGATATTTAAAAGTATCAGCTTTTAACATGTTTAGCAAGCAGTATTTGTCTCGAGCAATATCTCAGAGATCGATAATATGTCTCGTGGATTGATAATTGAGTAGTTACGATTGGTAGCCGACAACTCTGGCACTGCCTCGCGTATAGTTGTAAAAAGAGGTTTAAGAAAAAAAAAAGGAGCATGACAACGTTCACGGACGCACGGTGCATACGTAAAATGCGCCGTGTCGAAGTGAGCGCGCGTTTAACTAATGTAAATGCTTTTCTTGTACGTACATAGCCGCGTTGAGTTATACTTTCTCGCAGCTTTTATCACATGTGATATAGGAGGTAGTCTCTAATACGCTGTAACGTGACGACGAATATTTATGTATGTAACACACTCAGAGGAAGAGAGAGGTAGAAAGGTAGAAAAAGAAGAAGCAATAAAGTTATGCGGGACTTGTATAACCCCAGAGAACACCTGTCCGCGTTTTCTCGTCCCTGCGCAGCGATCGAACTTCGTTACGGATGTAAAACCCTGATCAATTCTCGATAACTCGTCGTGACATTGACGCATCGACTCGGCGTGTTCTCGCGCGCGCTTTCGCGCTCTCGCACACCGCAGGAAATTCGGAACAATCGCGCGCGTAATTTCTCCTGCATCGAGCGAAACGCAAGTTCGCGTCGTAACGACGAGATGCTCAATATTAACCCTTTGCGCTCGAGAGGTGCCTCTCAGGCATCACTCGGATCGAGGCGGCAAATCGAGCGATAACGGTGTTTATTTAGATTTGGCCTAACGAATATCGCTTCACGAGTCTACTCCTAGCCCTCATGAAATAAGCGGGAGCAGCTAACTCCTCTGGAGTTGCCGGTTCGCTCGAGCGAAAAAGGGCCTCGAGCGCAAACGGTTAAAAGTCAAAGCGTTCAAGTGTAACGAGCCTTCGCCAAATTTTTCCGAGAAAATTCGATTTCCAGTTTCCCGTCGCAGCATCATCGTGATCTTTTCCGCTGACGGATCGTTCGAAACCTGTGTGCGACGACTGAAAGTTTCGAGTCGCGCTTCGCGCGCCTCCGTAAGCGAAACGGATTCTTCGCCGATAACTCGCGCTTTTGCGCGATAATCGCCGGCGACGTTTGGCGACGACCAAACTTCCGGTTGTCGCGTTTATCTGCGGCCCCCCCCCGTCGCCTCTCTTTCTCGCGGTGGCTCGCATTTTTCGCCCTTATCCGCCGTGACCGATAACGAGGCCATTCAACGCTTAAGAGCTCACAAACGTTCGCCCGTCAGTCCAATCAGTCGCATTGTGGGGCCGAAGCCGCCACCTCGCGTCTCGACACGCGGTAAGGCAAAAGCAAATAGTGGACTATTGACGCGGGGCAACCACTTTGCGTAATGCGTCGCGTGTCGCGCTAGTCGCAATCGCCGGCGCATTCGGCTGCCATGGCGAGTTACCGCGACGAAATTGGAAACGTCACTTTCGCATTCAGACGGCTGTTTGCCGAGCGGTCGTTCTCCGACGATCGCTTTTGCCGAGCGCGAAATTAAATCCGCTCGCGACGTGACGCGACGCGCGAACGAAACACTTTAATATTATAATTTTCGTCAATCGTTATTGCCCGGCGACGCTTTTGCACGACGGTGCAATTGTATTTCACGCCGACGCGGAACTTCACGCGCCAATGGCAAAGTGCCGCTTTGCACGTGGAAATAGAGATCGCTGGGATTTTAAGAGTCGCGTCACGATCGAGCCTTCCATCCGCGAACTTCTACTGGCACTCGTCCGTGAATTATGCTAATTACGATGACACATCTAATCACTGAACAACGCGGTCAAGGCGGACCGGTATTATTTCTATTCAGAGTTTGTCCTTTCCTTTATGTATCACATCTCATTCATCAATATTCAAATGATGAAGAACGACTTATGCGACGTTGATCGTCGTATAATGCAACTCATCAAGATTCAAGAGCGTAAGTATAATCGTAAGTAACACTGCTAAACGTTTCCTCGCATCGCTATAAAATTTACATCGTGCTATGTCTAAGCGTATTGATTTCAAAATAACACTTCCAGCTCCAAAATGACTTATTTTCGAACCAAGTCGATCCTTCATTCGCGACATCACCGTCACCATCTCTCCCGTTGATCTATCATCTCGCCAATTCTTTAGTCGTAACGTAATCGCTTGAGAAATATTGGAACTACAAAAATAACATCCGACAAAAGTAGAAAGTAGAAAGGTAGAAGAGCAGAAAGAAGGATACCAGCTGCCCGACAAATTGTCATCACGGTTCAAGGCTTGGTGTGAATATCTCTACCGGAAAAATACAATAGCTCTAACGTTGTACCAGCAAACGTATAATAAATAAAGATACCATGCGTCACATCTCCAAGATGAAGCGTTCTCGCTTCGTCACGACGACTTGTCAGTGATGCATGGCGCGAATCGTCTCTTTCGCAAGGTACGAGAAAGACACGAGATCTTGACGCGAGTCTTCTTCGCACGGGCACGTAAACCAGCCCGATAATAGAGCGTCGACGAGATCGTTGCCGACGGCGTGTCGACGACAGGTACATTCAGTATCCTCCGGGATCCTGCAGGCTATTGTCTTTCCAACGCGTCTGTCTCGATACGCATCCGAGATGCACTTTCCGTCCGCGCTATCTTCTTGTTCTCGCGCGATTCGCCTGCCCTTTTCGCGTCCCGAGCTCGCCGCTTTGTGCGACAACGTAATGCAATTCATAAAACTCGATCCTACTCGATACGACTTGGCGGGCATTCCCGTCGAGAGGACATCGAGCTTTCGTCGAAAGGATTCGCGACGGACATTTCTCTCTTAAATATAATTCCTGTGAAAATATTAGATTGTTGCGAATGAAATGACCGTTTCTATCTTTCATTTGAAACGCGTGTGCATTACAAACTTAATATATACTTTCTTCATCAAAATAGTCTTCATCTATTTTAATGCACTTTATCGAACGCGATGTAAACCTTTCGATGCTTTTCCGATGGAATAACTAATTGCTATTATGTCACGCTTCATCCGACTGCATTTGATAAACTTAGTCATTGCAACATATTTAACAATATATGTATATATTTTAGAGAAATTTCAATTTAATCGTCTAAAATGATTGTCGCGCGACGACGAAAGAAGAAAAAGTACGAATTGAACGACGCGAGCGAATGCACGTGTATTTTATTCGCTGAAATGAGGCTCGCGGCGCGAGGAAGTCTTCTATTTCCTTTTCTTTTCACGACCCTGTCTCTATCTTCTTGTCTCAACTTGGCGCGCAACGAGCGAGCGGGTTCTGTCGGTCCGCTGCATCCGCGTGCAAATAGATAACTCGTGCGGTGCACTCCGGGGAAGCGTGTACCTGAAGTGACAAACGGCCGGCCGCATGTATACGTGGCCACCTTTGTGTCGGCATGTTGCTTTTGTTGAACCGCTCGTATTGTCCCACTAAAAGAGCCACCTAACACGCCGTTCCGAACGGTTTTCTTGGTCGCCGTGTGCTCGCGATTGGAATCTCGGATTGCGCGTTATTTGCAAAAACGATCGCAGTTAAATCGTTCTTCTTTTATGTTCTAACGTCGAAGAGCCATCGAAAAAAAAACTATTATTTCGTATTTTTTCCTTTCCCTTTTAAAAAAGGAAACGGAAGAAGGGTTCAACGTATTTCTACGTATTTCTACGTAACTATCGTGTATGTAAAACATTCGTAAATTTAGTTAATTATTACAGACAGTTAATCTACTCGATTAATTCGTCTAACGTTTTCAGACAAAATTTTATTAACGTTGCTTTAGTCGATAACGCATCGTAACGTTTTGGATCGCGTCGGTTTGGTTGCAGTTACGAATGGTACCGTTGCACTTGCGGATACGAAAGGATGCATCATCGCCGTCACCCTTTCCGCTCGTAGAATGCGAACGAAATCGAATAGCGAGCGGCGCCGGAAAGCGTTCCAGATTCTCTCGTATGTAAAACTGCGTCGAAATCCGCCATGCATCATCGTTCGCGAATGTTTGCAGTTGTGACTATTCGCGTGATTTGAGCATACTTCGGTGCTTTAGTATTCGGCACTCATACTCTCATACGTGACTTACGGTAAACATTTTCCTCGTGAGCACATTATTGTTCGGTTTATAATTAACTTATTGTTTCTGTCGTTTTTACGTAAGCTATTCGAACATTCAGTGTCTTGAATTTATATGTATCTCATTCTGTTACGTTACCGTTCTGTACAATTAACGTGTTGAATATCACGTTATATTCGCGTGACTTTCTATTCACGTTGCGTAAACCAACGATAATCCACAATTACCGTGAATATTACATATTTTTATTATATATTTTTATAGAAAATATAGAGTATCTTATAATATTTATAAGCCTACAAAAATCGTTATTATATAAAGAGAAGAGGTAACGTAGAATAGGCGTTACACAGCCTGAGCGAAAAGCCACGTGGACCATCGAAGGCACTCAACATGTTAACTAATAATCGCTAATAATCCAATAATTAATCTCACACAAGGCAGTCAAACATCGGTGTTTTAGGAAAAGAATGGGGAGTATGATAAAAAGGCCAAATCTGCAAATGCACCTGCGACATACTGATTTTATCTCGAATTCCGCTTTAGAGAATTCTCTTAACGGACAGCTTACGCGCGCTTCGCGAAATCGAAAAATAAACAAGGCTGAAGTGGAAACGTGATTGCACCAAAATCCGGGATGCAACAATGCGCGCGAGTGTGTGCATAGCCGAGAGGGCAAGCACTCGCGTGGTATCGAGCTATCCTACGAGTAGTCGCAAATACGCAACGAGCAAACAGTGACAGGCAACAGCGACGACGACGACATGCCAGTCGTCGTCGTCGTCGTATCGAGGAAGTGGAAAATAAGGGTGGAAGCGCAAATATACATGGTGCGGTCTCTCCGTCCTGTTTCTCCTTCGATTCAATTCCTTTGCCGTACGCGCGCGCGCACATACATAGGGACACGTAGATACTCTTTCCCCAAGATAACGTCGATAACGTACGAGCTCTGATATTCGCGTATCGAAATTCCGATCGTTCAACGTCACCTTCCACCGCCCGATCGACAGGCGAGCGTTCTAGTCGTTCTGCGTGCGTGGCAGCGCGCTTCCGGTTCGTAGAGTTCCTTTGATCGCGATTTTGAGCGTGAACCGCCGGTGTTGTGTGCGCCTGTGTGTCTCGAGCACGTCGGAAATAGCGATAGAGCAAATGATTTTCAGCGAAAGGGCGAGAAAGTCGTCGCTTTTAAGTACGACGCGCAAATCTCTCGCTTTACGTCGCGAGAAAGATACTCGATATGCGAGAAATGCGTATCGCTCGCGGGAAAAGTACATTTTAATAATCTCTTCGGGCGGTAACATTAGTTTGAGAGATATCGCATGAGAAATTGTCGTGCTTATGACGATATGAGAGATAGTCCCTATCTCCCAGCCCCCTCGGTTTAAATTTCCGTTTTAAAGTCGTCCGATTTACGGGCTACGTAAGAGGATAATCGCGAAATATGCCAACGTAATTGCGAAGCTCACGTAATGGCCGGAGTGTGAGACGTGTAAGACTCGGAAATGGAAATTATGAGTCAAGGATTAATATTAAACGTGTAACGTGCGAAAATAAAGAAACACTACGAATAACGCGGTCGTGTCGCACCCTCGTCCGTATTCCGGCTAAGCCTGCCGTTTCAAACGTTTTTGCAGATGTTCTTATTTGCTTGCATTTCGACTTTACATCTGAAGAATACTAAAATCTGCACATAGTGTGAGATATTTAATCGACGCGTTAATATCTCCGAGATCGCACCATCTCTCACGAAACGTCGGAACTTGACGAAACTTTCCTTCTCGATGTAATTCTTTTCTTAATCTATGATAGGAAAGGTAACTCAAAACATCCGCCGATAATGAAACCGCAGATAGCGGGAATACTTGTTATCTTTGAAATATATCACATACCAAGTTACCATCACTCTGTTACGCATATAGACTATAGAAAGTATTGGTAAAACACTCACCACCATCACTGCGCTGCGCGATGCCTCTCTTGTCTCCCTTCCCCATGTTTCCTTCTCCTGCTGCCCTTTAGGATAAGATGCTGATTCTTTCGCTCCCACCTGAAACCCAATTGCAAAATATTTCGTTATTTCCAGCTAGGTCTCGCTAGGTTGGCTCGTCGCGTCTGCCTGTTCTTTCTCAGTGTACGTAAAATGTATATACATGTACGAGCGACCCGACTGCTCGTGGTGGTAACACGTTTCTTTTTATTTCCGCGTAAACATGGTCCCTATTGCAAATTGGTACATAGAACCCGTCGCAAAGACAAATGAGATACCGACTGTGCGATATGAAATTTCGATCGTTTCGTGATTGCGAAAAAATAAAATTACATTGCAGGCTCGATTACGTGGCATTCAGTTGCACAAATCGTGGGGTGGGCGAAATAAAAAAAGCATTGGATGCGTTTGACGTTGGGACACATAGAAATAATATTTATGCGCCTTTCTATATTTAATATAGTCGTAATATTTGTTAAATTTTATTTTATTGCACCGCTTGCAGCGTATCATTGTATTTAATATAATTCGACTAAATTAAAAGGTTGTGGTAAAAGTTTAAAATATTGACTGCTGCAAAGAGAGGTATTTTGATCAATTTAATATACTTTTTTTAATTAAAAAAAAGGTGTGTGTTTGTTTGTTTGTTTGTATATTTATTTGTACGTGTACGTGTGTGTATCTTCTTGATACTTTTTACTTCAAATATTCCCGCCATGAGAACATTACGAGTTACTATTATAGATCGAATGTGTGAATAAGTCGCTTTCTGCGAAGTATTTTTATTTTTATGGTTCAAAATATATTTACTCAGACAAATGTTTACTCAGACGGGAACCGTTGTTTCGCGTAATCTCGCGGAATGACGATAGACTGGCAGCCCGAAGGGAATCATTTAGCCTTTAGGAGAGCCAATAATGTCACATTCCACGAAATGAAGATTTATCGCGCATCATCGGACACGTCCAATTTCCTTACAAATTTCTCCCCGAAGGATTTACCATGTTTCGGTGCAAACGTAACTCAAAAAGTGTGTCGTCCCACGCGACAGGTTACACTTATCCCACGTCTTGCCGCTCTGTTTCGGCGCTCGGATTTATCCTTAGCGCGTCGACCATTGTATCGGCCAGGAAAGGACAGTCCTTTGAAGGATCGAGCTCCTTCTCTCGGCAAAAACGAGCAGAGCTCTCTCGACCGCCTGTAACTTTAGTTTAAAGCCGACGCAAACTCGATACACCCATCCACCAGCGAGATATTACATGCTGACGAAGGAGAGATGGAAGGGAATAGACACAGCGGGAGAAAGAGGGAGAATCTTGTTCGCGTTTTTGAATTTTGCGTGTTTCGTGTTGCCTTCTATTCCAAGCCGGATCGAAGTTACGCATGCATCGTTGTGGCGCCTCTTACGGTGCACCAGCGATGGAAACTTTTGCCGAGTCCCGGCATCGACGATGCATTCGGAAAAGGAACGCTCACGCATCGCACGTGAAACGTCCGAACGTTATGCCGGTCACGTGCACCGTCGTGTTCGCACGTGGAGGATAAATCGGGACGAATTTATTAATAAGATAAAACGGAGACGCGTGATTCCGCCGTTTTTCCCGTTGCAACGCGATCCGCCAGATCTTCCCAAAGGAAATTAAGACCGGGAAGGATCGTTACGACGAGACGGCAACTCCTCCCTATGTTTTTTTTCTTTTTTATATGGCGCTTGTTTCCACATTTTTCTCGTCTCTCGGTGACGAATCGTCTCGCAGACTTATTGACGATCAAATATCGCTCGCTTCTGACGTTCCTTCAAATATTCCGTGACTGCACCCACCCCTATTTTCCTTGCTCATGATCCACAAATATTGGCTGCTGCGGATGTGGGATACAAAACACAATGTAAAAATAGTTTCTCGTCGCCAGTTCGGAATATTCTGAAATTATATACCAAAACATGTTGAAACATCACGTTTTAACGAAAATTAAAATTTGCTACCAAAAAGTACATCGTAACAAAAATATCGAAAACTACAAAATTATGAAATATAAAATTATTAGACATATATAATGTTATAATCTAAAATTAATAGCAATACGTTAAATGATTTCAGTAAAATATATAATCACTATATGTTAAATATTAAAATATATAATAATATATTTAGTTGAATACAATATTTTAAAATAACTGGACGGCGAGGAAAAATGAACTGGAATGCATACAAATGAAATGAAAATCGGAACTGCATACGTAAACCGCGCTGGCTCGATAAACGAACAGGACACTGGAACGTGAATTAAAGGATAAACGCGACGCGATGTCGAAATAGTCCTAAGTTTCGACCACGAGGGAAATGCGCGATAGGGCCCTACAATGCACGCGCTCGCTTGTGCACTCTCTACACGCTAAACGATCGACGATACAGAGGGACCATTCTGACCGAAAGTTTCAACGCTGTTACGGCGCGTCCGGACGAATAAATAACGAGTTTACTACGCTTGCCAGCGTGTTGGATTTCAATTTCGCGACGAAAACTTATTGGGACGCTATCGTCATGTATATGTGTACGACGGAGCCGTCCTCGCGTAACGAGCTGCATTGAACATCAAGTCGTGAGAGTAGTTGACTACATCACACGCGAATGAATAATCATGATACACTCTTCTCTCCTTCCCCTCCCACGACACAATGTAATATTTTCAGCTGAAATCTCTTCCAGTAATTTAGCCGTGTGTTTCTGCCATCCGCGAGAACTTAAGCGAGTAGCTCATTAATAATTATTTAGGACCACGTTTTTGCATCTTCCACGGGGTACAAAATGCGCTTTTACTAATTCACAATATCCTCTGCAATCTCTCTCTTTCACTGATATGTGCATTATGTTGAATATATTGTAATTTCTATTTCACCGTGTTATGCCGCGCCGCGAGAAATTTCCAGAAATTTCCCTGCCGGTTTTTATACGTTAGCGGACCACGCGCAATGGCTTCTTACTAATTTGGAAAGTTACGCGCAAGCGAATTGCACGCGGGGGCTAAAATGCGCTTTTAAATAATTTACATATCTCTCTGCCGCCCGAGAGAGGGGGGGGGGGAGAGAGTGTGTGTGTGTGTGTGAGTGACCAAGTGCGTACTTCCTGCATTCTAAAGATTAAAATGTATCTCTCTCTCTCTCTCTCTCCTTCCCTTCCTTCCTCTCTAATTTATAAGTATACGTTTGCGCAATTCAATCCTGCACAGCGTTGTATTTCTACGAAGGTAAAAGCGTATTTCCAACTAATTCATATATACATTTCTGTATCTTGCAAATAGCACGATGCGTATCTCTCGACTTGCGTATATCCCTTCAACTATTTGAAAAATAAAACGAGATATCCTGCATTTTCCTCTCATTCGAAATACCGAATTTTTCGACAGCCACGAGCAAACAAGAGGCAGCGAAGTGTTTACTTACACGAGAGAGATAAAGATTCCTTGAGAGTTTCAAGTTTTCCAAGTTTCTGCGTGCAGTAGACACGGGTTCTCGGGTAAAAACCCGATGTATGCGGGAACTCAACGGCCATGGAACATGTAATAAAAAAGGAGGGTGCATGCAAACGACTCGTTTTATGATCGGCGGTCGCTGATGTATACCCTCAATCACCTGTTCTCCTTCCGTTCGCCATTACAGTGGCTGCGTTTTAAAAGCTTTTCTACTCGGAACGATCGATTCTACTAGTTATTGCGAAGAGATTGGTAAACACTAAACCAGGGTTAAGCCTGGTACCTCTTCCTCAGTCGATCGATAAGTAATTTTAGATATTCCGAATACCGGTCAAGTTTTTAAACAGTCTTTCGGTCTTTCATAATTTCTTTAACAAATTAGTCGTGATTAAATGACTCGCAATCGAGATATTTACTACAGTTGCTATAATAAGTCGTCTGGTTAAATTCGAAAAAGAAAACAAATTCCTCTGAGAATTGTCGGATTTTTCCAGGCATAAACAAATTCCTTGAAAATTTCAGGTTTTCCAGGTTTTTCTAGGTAATAGACACTTTGTGTAAAACCATATTCAACATTCTCCGCGATCATGATCTATATAAAATAAACGAAAGGGTGAAGAAAAGAGCACAGAAAGAAAACAAGAGAGAAAGAGAGGTCCTCGCGTTCGTGTCGCGAGAATATCCAGACCTCGGCAACCTTATCAAAAAGGCAGTTATGCACTAAAAAGGCACGTCGCACTATAAGGCGAACGAACGCGACCCGAGGGTCCTCTTTCCTTCTCGACTTATCTCCATGAAAAGGATTTTCCAATCCTGTTCACCGTGATCTCGCTGCGTCCGTACCGCGCTGATAAGAGATCGGAGACGCTCGCGCTCTCTGAGAGGACTCGATGCCTCCCTTCGTGAAAGGTATCGACAAGGACCTTCATTAAACCGGTCGACGACGTATCGAGACGATCTAACGAAATCCTCAGCGAAAACGCAAATGCGCACTTCCGGCGAAGAAGGGAAGAAGAGTGCGGCACGCAGGACTTGCCGTCGATCGCGACTGTCGGATCGCTGCTATCGGGAATTTCGCAATTTCCGGCTGAATCCGACAATTTCCTCCCGCCGACGCGTCCGCACGCGGTGCGGAACTTTTCGCGTGACCGAACGACCAGTCGGTTTAATTTACGTTATGGTCGCGAACTGAAATTGAAGGGGTCGAATGTCGAAAGCACGAGGTCCGTATGTAACACTCTCGTGGTGCTTTAAGCTTATTGACTCTCAGATCACTGGGGACGCGTGGATATTCATATATATATATATATTCCTTCCTAAATCTAATATTCTTTTTTATATTCTAAAATATATCTTGGAATTTTCAAAAGAAATTCAATCCTAACGTAATTCAAACAAGAATATTTCTCTACATTTCTTAATAAGCTTTCCCCTCGAACAACCGTAATTTCTCGCGGAATTACGTGCAACGTGCAATTGCATTGTTATCGATACGAAGGATCAGTGCTGTCCTGTCCGCCGGGCAAAAGTACCAAGACGTACGCCGATATTTCGCCATCGGGAAAATTAATTGGATTTTCACTCGGAATTAAATACTTCCGCGGAGGAAGCGTAGGAGAAGAGAGAGGAAATATTAAGAATCCCGAAATCCGCGAGATAACGGGCGTAACCTAATGGTCGTGCTGATAAATCAGATGGGACAAAGCCGGCACGTCGCTGAGTTTGACTTGATAATACCAGGCACCTTGCGAGGATCAATAAATCGTGAAATTTATGCTGATCCCCCTCAACCCTTTCCTTTCCGGGCACCGGCGCGGAACTCCTCGACCCGGTATATAGGAGCACGGAAGGTTCCAGTTAAATGTTGAAGGTTGTAAACAGAATTCGCGAAAATTCCCTATGCCGTTCCGGCAAGCTCATAATGAACGATCTTACAGTGATATTACCTATTCTTATGCAAAACGCCTGTCATCGTCCCGTGCGTTGCATTATGCGCTTTCACATAAATTAGAAAACGCGATGCGATCATACTATCGCCGGATGAATGATTCGTCGTCGAGCGGATATATCTTGTGCATAAAGGTGTATTCGCGACATCGATATAAGCATGCATTTTTCGAGTCTTTTATCGTTGCAAGTTTCAACGCGTTCTTGTGAACGCCTCTTCGAATATCTAGTATCACAAGAACGTGCTGAAAACGGAATTATAGGAATTACAGGTCTTACTTAAATCGCAATCAAAGGCATGTAACCAATTAATTTTTTTTACAGCCTTTATACAACGTCATTCTACTTATGATTTCCAAAATATGTAATTGTGTTCGCATTGTTGCGAGCAATTTCAGTTTCAGCGACTCTCTCGAGCTTTCTCGCCTCTTTCAGAGAATCGTGAGATAAGAGCTACAATCATTTCGAATCATAAGGATCCATTGTTCGCGGAGCTTATCGAAGAAAACATTCCTCTCGTTTCTCAGATATTCATAGCGGAAGTTAAAATCAACTGAAACCACCTTTCACCGACGCTTCAAACTTTTCATTCCCTCATCTCTCTCTCATTGTTTCCTCGTTCGATACGCGGACTCTCCACGATACCCTTTTCTCCGCTTTCAGCACGATCGTCTCGTCCGCAACTTCTTTTACACTCTAACACGTTTTTACCATTTCCGACCGATTCCTCACTATATCTTTCTTCCTTATTATAATCAACTGAAAATTACAATATTTTCTGTGCACTTCACATTCACCAATTAACTCAACACACCATCGCGAAACACTTTGCGCTGATCTTTCGACAACTAAGAAAATAGCGTTTTACGATATTTCGACTATCGGGATTAAAAATAATCTTTCGTCATCAGATACATATTTACATTAAAAACACGATCTCTACATCTTATCTTCACCCGCTCCGCGAAAGAAGAATCCTCAATCTTTTACGAAGCCGAGACTTGCCATTCTCGTGTGTTTGTAAGCGCGGCAAACGTAAGGGACTACTTGGGGTTGTCGATAAACGCTGAGCAAAAGCTTAATGCTAATCGCTCACCTTTATCTGCCGTTGCGATTCGTCACGGCGACATGCCGTCGAGAGAGAGCGCCCAACTTCCGTCACAGCACGACTAGTAGTTCGCCACTCTCGATCCGCGCTGTCTCGACGATTACGCGTGTCGAAAAAAGGATAGTATCGCACACGCACCCTTTCCTCCTGCTCGGATGATGCGCGATTGATGATGTTGCACCTATCCGTTCATCGCGACCTTCGCTTTCTCTTCCTCTCTCTTTCTCTCTCTTTCTCTCTCTCTCTCACATACACTCTTTCACGCTCTCTCTTTTTCTCGCTCTCTCGCTCGCTCTCTTTCTCTCCCTCCTTCGCTCTTTTCACTCGCTCATTATCGCGCGTTACGCTAAACCGGAAGTGGCTGTCTCCCTTATCGAATGGACCGCCCTATCAAATGTACATGTCTATTGCCATCTTAGGTTAGCGTCTCGCAGGATGTCCAGACGTGAACGGCTCCCGGGACCGGCACCGACTGAACTCCTGCCGGACGGCAACCCGGAGGATGATCACGCTCCTGCGTCCTCGATCGTGGGTGACGACGTCGAGCGTCCTCTGGACGGAATTGATCTAAAGATGCATATGAAAGTGACGTGCGGTTGATAATGCAGAACGTTCGCATCGATACCAGCCGACACTACGAGCGATATTAACTACGAGCGATATTAACTACTGCTGATATTTGACAGTTTATCAAATTCCTTTTTTACATCATAGATCGCAATAGTGGTTGGAATAGACATTGATGTTACCAAAGTTGAATCTTTGGATTTTTACACGTATCTTGAAATATTATTATTGTTCTATTAATAATTTTGATTTCATATATATATCTCTGGTGTTGTTTTTAATATTATTAAAAGTATATTTTTTAATAATTCTACTTCAGGCTTCTTAAAGAATGATTTAACAAGATCGATTGGCAACTAAGTATATATCCACATACGATTCTTAAAATAGAATAATATTTTGGTAAAGAAATTACAAATAAATGTCTATCGAACTGATTTTTGCGTTTTAATTGAATTTACTGTCACCAAAATTTAATTTTTTATATAGTAATCTGCTGAATCTTATATTGATAGATAGAGAAGATGCCTTTTTTACTAGCTACTGATATTAAACCAGAAATTTATTGATAAAAAATGTAAGAATTGCATACTGATAAAGAATAGCATTAGCCGATACTTGGATAAATTATGGTTAAATTATGAAACAATTAATAAAGATATTCGTAAATATCTATTTGAAATAAATGTGTTAAATGAATTAATTTAGTACGTTATAAATTTATCGACGATGAATAAAGACACGATAACAAATTGCGGGGTAAATTTAGATAAATATTTGCAAATATATATGAATAAAAAAAATGTATTTTCGAATAGATATTAAATATGTATGATTCACAATTCATACAAAATAAATAAAATAAAAATACCATAATTTTTCTAATATTTAGAAAATCAATGTTATCACATTCTGCAAAGAGAGAACCCGACAATATATTTATAATTCTTGTTTTCGTTATATTTGATTTTACAGTTGCATTTTCTTTAAACATGTACCTTGTTTTTATGCCCCGGCCAAGGGGAGAGAACACGTTAATGGAAATTTTCAAGAGAATATTTTAAATTGCGATCGAGTTTAACAAAACTGTTACGACGCACTCCGCTAAAACGCATTCGTCGCCAATTAAAGCGCATTAAATATTAAAACCGGGGAATGATATTACATCGTTGTGATGCATTAACGTATATTTACGTAGCGACATTAACGACGTCTAAATATGCGTTAGCTGAAGGTACAGCGATAGTTATTCGAATCTAAAGGAGCGAAGAAAGTATCGGACAACTTTTCTACTAGCGTACGTTTTTATAGCGTTTTATATAGTTTCCGCTTCCCACATATTTTCTCATTCCACAGAACTTCATAGCGAAACATCATGTGGAACTTGTACAATTTTAAAATACACGTTTCATATACCGCGTATTTTCATTACAGATAAAAGTTCTAATTAGCACAATTTTAGAAAATCTGCAGTAGTCTAATTAGTAAAGCTAATAATTGTAAGTGCCTGCGTATAATTAAAATTATTATCCATCGAGTCATTATAAAAAAAAACCGTGCGTTTCGATAAAAAATGTATCACATATCTTTCCCGATAAAAAGAGAAAATACACTCACACGGTCGTTAAAAACAGATTGGCGAAATAGCGAAAGTAATGATACAGATAACAATGTCCCGAAAAAATCCCATAGTATCTCCGTATATAAAAAATGATACGTAGTGGGTGTTATTCCTTTCGTTTCCGTGATAATATCTCATGTTATAACGGCAAAATTATGATTTTAATGTAATATCATTATGATTATTCCCCGCAAATCACTTTTCCGCATATGTAAATATGTAAGATAATTTTCAATTTCGACGCTATTCAATCACCGCGCATATCACAATATCGACAAGGTCGATACAGTAAATCTTCGAAGTCTCTATTTGTATAAGAATACAAATCATAGGACAGAGGAGAGTAAAACGGCAAACCCCAGCGAAAACCTAGACTGGAATCGACTCGAGCGACCTTTAATTATACTCCGCGTCGTGAAATATTTGCACGTTAATAATCGTACCGAGACAATTCTCGATATCGCCGTCCTCTGTCGTCGTCATCATCGGCGGCGGAGATCGCCGTCGAACAGGAACGGAAAATACGGCGGCGTTCTCCGGCGAACGCGATTCATAATTCATGACTCGTTACGTCTGTCTACAGGGTGGCTCGGCGGCGAACGCGCCGTTGCCGCCACCAGAAGCTTCGGGCCCTTATGCATATTGATACTTTCGCGTAACGCCAACTCTCACTCTTTCGCTCGAGCGTTTAGACGCGTCCTCGTGTTGTCGTACGAGATGTTTGCGCATAATTTCACTCATCGTGTTTGGCTACCCCGCCGGTTCGTTCGCGTGCCCGTCGGCTTGCCGGGGGCACGCAAATGTTTGCGCAATCTCCCGATATTTCTCTCTTCCCTGTTCTCTTCTCCCCCCTGCTCCGCATAACTGTCCAATATAAATCTACCGATTAATACTGTACTTCGTGTTATCTTACTTCGATGCTAACTGCTGCCGCTTCCTTCTCCTCCTCATCTTCCTTCGTTCGACGATGACGTTCTGTTGATGAAGTCAGAATCGGCATTGCCTAAAACGCCAGGATCAACGTACGCGCACGCCGAATTCGTTCATTCGCGATACTGTTACGAGAAGACCGCCATTACTGGAAACGGACCGAATGTTGCGCCTGCAATAAGCGCGCCATCTGTCCCGATTTGTCAGGTATTCCCGAGCAGTGATCATAGAGTAGATCTGTCAGACCAATGCGTATGCGTCTCTATGTCACAGTAAGTTACCAATCTCGACGCTCACGACATGTTCTAACATGTTCTTTTTAGAATCGTACGACGCGATCGAAAACGATCTGTACGTTAGATTACGTGTTGATATTGCCCTTCAATGTTTTGTTAGTACACTTGTATACGTACACGTAGAAGACATTTGGGAGACACCAACTACGGACGGGAGTGACGATGACATATCATTCGGTAATTATTTTATTGTTTCTATATAGAAATAAAATATATAGGAAATATATTTTCGTTACGATGCCGCTATTACACGTACAACTTTTCGTGACATCTTTTGCTTTGCTTTCTCTCTTAATTATTACTCTATAGGGTGAAGAGAAAGTATCGGGCCGATAAGATATTTCGAAAACGAAAGATTTGAGAAGAAATTTTGCATACAAAAGTTATAAGGTTTCAATCATAGATATTTTAGCCCGATGTTCTGAACTCTCTTTTAGCTCTTTTAGGTAAAATCGCCATAAATGTGACTTCTCAACCAGTCAGGTGGTTCCCAAGCCACTTTTAGAGGTACTTTTATCGATAAAAAAGTTCTGAATACGAGCTATAGAATAGACTGAGCATTGCCATTGGAGAATTGAAACCAAAATCGAAGGATAGAGATATATTAACAATGATGCTTTTTCTGTTACAGTAAGAGGGAGGCAATTTAGGGAAAGAAGAGAGAGAATGAATGCCTTATTTTCGAGATATTTTATCAATCTTATATACTTTTTCTCGTCCTGTTGATGAAGTCAGAATCGGCATTGCCTAAAACGCCAGGATCAACGTACGCGTATATTTTATCCTATATATTATATTCTTTTCACTTACTATTTATCATTTTTTTTCTTTTTATCATCTATTGGCCTCTTTTATTGTATATCACTTCCTTCAGTCTTTTATTATATATCATCTCTTTTATTGTATATCACTTACTTCTGTCTTTCTCTATTTCTTTATTTCTCTCTCTCTCTCTCTCTCTCTCTCTCTCTCTCTTTATTTCTTTCTACTATTCTCGGTAATTACTTAATATTCACACACACTCGTATCCAACACATTAATTTGAATGGAGTTGTGTGATTATACAACACGTGTTAATTTGCATGTAACCAATAATTATGAAAGTATTAACTGCACAGTTATGTAATTATTATTTTATCAGGACTGAAGTGTTTCACGAGTTCAAGACTTCAAATCTTTGGGTCTTTAGAACGTCAGGACTTCGATGTTTCAGAACTACAGTTGTGTAAGTTAGCCACAAAGCAAAATGTGAGTTGATTGTTTTATATTATATCAGCTCTCTTGAACTAAAGACGATATACCTTAATTTTCTTACTTTTATCATTATAAGAGAACAATATCGAGTCTGTTGATTGATATTCTCCGAACAAAAAAGGAGATGTTATTGAACGAACATGTTTACATAAAAGCTTGACAATTATTTAATGTATTATTGATTAATTGTTTTATAAAATATTTTAATACAGAGAATAACTAATTAATAATATTGTTTATTATTATTTAATAGTTTCATAAAGTATATTTTATAAAATTACATTAATACTAACAGAAATGAAAAATGAAAGTATGCCCTTTTTCGTCAGGAGAGCGCTATATTTTTGCGTCTATTTGTTTGCGATAATACAATAAATTATTGGACACGCGAAAAGTTATATTGCGACTGTCGTTTTTTCTATATTTGTATAAGAAATGTCGCACGTGTTAAAATTATTCGTGAAACGTGCTAGGTTTTTTCAGGAAATTGAAAAAAGGATTAAAATAATAAGGAAAAAATGCCTTCCTTTCTCTACAAAATCCAGCGCGTAACATAACTCTATGAACATCTATATAATAGATGTTTGAAAGACATCGTAAATTTCAAAGTAGTATTTACAAGATAGTATTTGTCGCTTGAAAAGAAGTATAACATTCGGCTTCGAAATTTAACCTATATTCTTTGGTGAGTTAACACAAATTATCGCAAATCGATAGCTAGTTAATCGCGCAAATATAGTTCTCCCTTGTATTCGCCGTCTTGGCGAAACATTTTGAGAAACGTTG